AAAATATTTCTTGCCCTCTTCATATTTTGAATCAAATATACATATAATTAAAAATCTTCCATTCTCTTTTCCTCCTCTCTCATTCATTTATCTTATCAATTAAACCAAAAAGACTCTTATATAACTATATTTTGTACTAAAGAAATAATAGACTAAATTAATAATTTACTGATGGGAATTATATATTGTATTAATTTAGTTATAGATTTTACAATACAAAATTTGACATCATAATGCGAATGAAACTTAACATAATTGATTTTTCTTATCATTTTTTTTTTGTAAAAATAGTTTGAATTGAATTTCAATTCTTTTTTTTTTTAAATTTAACTAAACATAATTAATTTTGAATACTAATTTTAATATAATATAATTTTTGTATTAGTATTATGTATTGTATTTTCTATTTTTAATTGGTTTTTATTTCTTTAATAATACTTATTAATTTAATTTTTTTTATTACTATTTTATACACTTTAGACGTAATAGATTAATATTGATTTAATATATTTTTTTTATATCGTAACTTAATTTTTGAATTTATTTTGGTCTCTTAATTTAAAAAAAAAATCATATTGATCTTTTAACTTTTCAAAAAGTATCATGTTAGTCATTTTTATCTAATTAACGACGAATTTAGCGATCAATTTTTGAGTTGCCTTGTCGCTAATAAAACAAAATGATTAATATGAAACATTTGAACAATTAAACGACTAATACAAAACTTCTTAAAATTAAGAGATTAAAATAAACTTCGAGGTTAAAATTCATAACTAAAAAAAATATTAAACCATTAATATCCTATAATATTAAATTTTAGTGTATTATATAATATATTAAATATATTATTTTGCAACAATGTTTTAAAATATTAATATAAATAGACTTTTTTTACAATTCTAATTTACATACTAAAAAAGTAATTTAAATTAAAATACATTAAATTAAACTTAACTATTATTATTTTATAAATTTTCATAATAAAACTAAAGCTTACTTTTGGTATCTCTATTTTAGTATTTGGCTATGTTTAATGTATGTTATACCTTATATTCTATCTGTTTCATTTTAAATGTCAATTTTTTTTTTTTTGTATTTTTTTTAATTGTTTGTCACTTATAAAATTTAAAGTAGTATTAATTGCATTTTTGTTAAAATTACCTTTAAATATTTATTATATAAAAAAAAATATAATAAATAATTAAAGGTATAGTAGATAAAAGGAGAATTATTGTTTGATAAATTACAATATCGATTAATTTTTTTGTAGGTGTAAAATGTAAAGAAAAATACATTTAAAAATAAACAGAAAAAGTAATTTATAAGTTCATATCACAACAAAAGACATGTTTAATAACAGTTTTTTTTTCATAAATTTATAATTTATTTTATTAATTTATAATTTATTTTCCAAACGCTATTTTAAATAGCGTTTTACTTTATCGCTTATATAACTTATTATATTTTCTTTCACTTTTATTTTTATAATAACTAAAATACGCTTTTATTTTTTATAATCTATTTAATTTAAAATAAAATATATATTAATTAAAGACAAAAAATATTAAATAATTATGTCATTTTACATTTATCAACTAGTTGAACCATTAATTTTATAAAATATTTCAATTAATTTATTAACTATCCGTCATTAATCATAACTTATATATTATATGTTATCGATCATTAATCATCAACCATAAGCTATAAATTATGAAATAACTTATTAGTCGACTCTTATTTTTACTATACGATTTTGATTCTTTTTCATATTTTAACATTTAAAATTGATAACACGTTAATATTCAAATAACGTGTTACTCCTAAAATGTGATAAATTATCATATATATATATATATATATATATATATATATATATATATATATATATATATATATTTTTTTTTTTTTTGAAATTTTATAGATAGATAAAAATATAAATTAAAAAATAAAAATCACATTGTTTTTTAGTTAAAAAGAGTGAGAGAAACAATTACTGTCTAATTTAAAATAAAAAATTAATTAATTGTGATTTTATCTTTGAATATATTTTTTTCAATCTTAAAAACTCAAATTTTTTGATAATATCATATTTTTCAAAGGAAAATTAACATTAGAAAAAGGAAAAAAAATAAAAATCACATTGTTTTTTAGTTCAAAAGCATGAGAGGCATAAAAACTGTTTAAATTTAAACTAAAAAATTGATTAATTATGATTTTATCTTAAATATATTTTTTTCAATCTTAAAAACTCAAAAATTGTGATAATATATTTTTTTAAAGAAAAAATAACATTAAAAAAGGAAGGAAAAAAGTATTAAAAAAATTTTCTGGCAAAATAAGTGATATATTCCGTACATGGTATTCAGTACATAGTTTAGTTCATTGTATTTAGTCCTAAAATAATTAACCTCATTTAAATAATTCATGAATATAAACACATTAGTAAAATAATTTAGTTTTTCTAGAATTTTATAATTTTTATAATTTTTTCTATAACAATGACACTCTTTTTATAATTATTTTTTATTTATTTTACTTAGTATAAAAAAATTCATAAATACTTACCAATATTATTAAACAAAGAAATGGAAATAAACAACGTATAAAGAAAGTAAAAAAAAATCCAAATAAAATAAATGCTCCTTAATTTGGGTTTTTCAATAAATGATACTAATATATAAAATAAAAATAATACTAATATATAATTTTATATAAAATATTATAGACCAAAACAATAATATTATATAAAATATTTAATTTAATTACTACCAAATAAAAGGAAAAAAAGGAGTAGTACTATATACCATGTAAGAGATAAATAGTTAAGTAAAGTTTCCGTTAAAGATGAGAAACAGATCTCCTGTTTAAGGATCCACTGCACTTGCCACGTGATTCACGTTACAAACGACTCAGATCTTGTGATATAATCACACATGGTCCATCCAACGGTTAGATCATGACCGCGAGAAAAGTCACGCGTCGCACGGAGTCTTTTATTTTTCTTTTATTTATTAATCATCAATTTTTTTTAATAATTTCCCACTAAATTTAATGCTTTAGAAAAAAAAAAACTCTAAACTGTGAAGTGTTGCATTTTTTCATCCCATTCTCATCTTCCTCATTTTCATTCTTTTTCTTCTCCATTCTCTGCCTTTTCAACTTCCATTCGTTGCTTCGTTTCATAAGAGGCTCTGCGTTTTGATTCCGAAGAAACACTCTGTGAGTATAAGTAGGGTTACGTAGTGTATTTTTATCTCTATTGCTGCAATTTTGATTTTTTTTTTTTTTTGTAATGGTTTGAAGTTTGAACATTGTGTAATCTGTAAAACCTATCGCTGTTGAGGATCATTTTGCATGTGTATGGTGGTGATTTGTGAACTAGAATTGTAGTTTCTGTAGGTATTTCCGTCTACATTTGCTTGCTGATAGTGTTTTGTGAAGTTGTTGGAGTTTGTGATTTTGACTCAAATTCTTTGTAATTTTCGTTTCTCGTGTTATTATTTGAATTCTATAGAGTTTGTTGAACAATTAGATCTGAATTCGAATTTCTTTGATTTTATTACATTGTTGTGTAATTTTTTTTTGGCCATTTGTTGAAACTCTGAGATTGATTGTGCTATTAGGAGGAAGACCTAATTTTCGTTTGCTTGTTATGGTGGCAACTTTGTTGTTCAAGAAACGGGTGGTAATTAATTATTTATGATTCTGTGCACTTTTGTATTTAAATTACAATAATTAAAAAGTAGGAACCAGGAAGGGTTTTGACAAATGTATATTCCGTTTTTAACTGTCTTTCTTTTGACTGCATTGGGAGTAATGCTGTGGTTAAAATACTCAAATATTTCAAATGCTAAGTATCTTCTTTTAAACTATCCAACTTTAGGTGTGTATGTGTTTTTCATATTGGGTTGTGAATCAGTCTATAGTGGACTTGGTTTTGAAGAAACTTAGTCCCTAAATTATCTTCATCACTTCTTTGCTAGTGGTTCACTCTTTCGATGTTTTGAATGGTGTTATTTTTTATAAGGTCGAGCCATGGTTATCAAGGGACACTTTAGTATTAACTGTTTTTAACTGAATTTCTAAATCAACTAACGTCGATGGTTGACATTAAAGTTGTCCTATACGTTTATCATCATGCTTTCTAGTTTTTAATCAGAGAATTTCCGTAGTTCCTTAAATTTCTGTTTAGGATTCGAAAGCATTTGTACCGCACGTTGTCATGTAGCGCGATCGAATAGTTGCCACAGTCCACGACATAAATCAAAGAATTTTTTAAGCCTCAATGATTTGATATATGGTGTCTGTCTGTTGTTTAGTGGATTCAGTAATTGTCGCAGCTTGCACGATAAATCATAGATTTTGTAAATCTAGATATTTGACATTTGATATATGTATCTGACGTGTGGCGAGATTCAATGATTTCCCTTATAGATCGGTTATATGATATTTGTATCTGTCGTGTAGCAAGATTCAGTAATTTCCATATAGATGATCCGCTATATGATATATGTATGTCATGTAGTGGGATTCAATAATTTCCATATAGATGATCCGCTATATGATATATGTATGTCATGTAGTGGGATTCAATAATTTCCATATAGATGATCCGTTATATGCTATCTGTATCTGTCGTGTAGCGGGATTCAATAATATCCATATAGATGATCCAATATGACATGTAGCGAGATTCAATAACTACCATAGTCTGCGACATAATTCAAATGATGCGGTGAACTGTTATGTGATATCTGTTACTTTCAAATGACCTTGTACTTTTGTATTGATACTTTGTTTATTTTTGGAGGGAACAAACTGACATTGGAATTTTCTTTTGCAGATTTTTATTGTATAACAGGCACCATCTACTGAACTCAGTGTTATAAACATTTACATCAATGACTTTGCTGCAGTATCAAACGTGAATTTACACTCAAATTTTGCTGGTATTTATTGTTTTCTCTTTTCTGAGTGGTGCAAGCTTTTCAAAAGACATGGCACCATGGTGGGGAAAGCCTTCGTCCAAAGAGGCGAAGAATAAGAAGACAAACAGGGAGAGTATTTTTGATATGATACAGCGAAAATTGAAAAATGTTTCAGAAGCAAAGAGCAACTATAAATCAGGAGGGTCTCGAGGACATCATAATTGCAGTATCTCAAAGAAAGGATCTAGATCATTCGGACCTTCAACAAGATCATCGTCGTCCTCTCCAACTGTGTCCCGCTGTCTAAGTTTTGCAGACCATCATTATTCTCGGCCAAACCCAGTGCCAGGCTCGCCCATTCATACTGCTAGTAATGCTAGTTCTGGAATTATTTTAACATCTAAACTGGAAAGAGCCACAGAAGATCCTTCATCTAGACCATCTATATATTTCCCCCTGCCAGAACCTGGTTATCTGACTATGAAAATAGAAACAGAGCCACCATTAACAGACGTGGAAGGAGATATAGTCACTGCATCTGTTTCCTGTGACAGCTCTATTGATAGTGGTGACTCATCTGATTCACATCTTGTTAGTCCTCTGGCCTCTGACTGTGAAAATAGAAACAGGGCCACCATTAACACTTCTAAAAGGTGAGTTTGTTTACATTTAGATGCATATTTTTAAATGCTCTTAATGTGTTTGCCTTATTTTCTGTTCATTCAATTACTAAAATTATTTCTATGTTTGTAAAGTATGGTGAACAGAGATCAGTCACAGACTACTATCCAAAAAAACTTAAGAGCATCCTCAAAACCAGCTCATAAACTGCGCAACAATAAGCCACTGTCTAGCTCGCCAAAAGGAGTTCCTTTGCATCTGCAAATAGGTCGTGCAGGTGGTTTTTGCAGTGCGCCAGATAGTTCAATGTCTAGTCCTAGAAGTCCAATGCGAGCATTTGGTCCAGAGCAAATGCTAAATTCAGGATTATGGACTGGGAAGCCTTATCCAGATATAGCTTCTGGGCACTGCTTTAGTCCAGGTTCAGGCCATAATTCTAGTAATAATTCGGTTGGTGGGGATCCATCAGCATTTAGGGCACACAACAAGTGTAGTGCTGAGTGTTCCCCAATACCTAGTCCCAGAATGACAAGCCCTGGCCCCAGTTCCAGGATACAGAGCAGTAATGTCAGCCCTCTGCATCCAAAGGCTGGAGGTGCAGCAGCAGAATTGCCTACAAGAAGACCCGATGTCAATAAACAACAAAGTCATCGGTTACCGCTTCCTCCAATAAAAGTGACTAAACCTTGTCCATTTTCTCCCACCTATTCTGTGTCTTCAACTCCTTCAGCCCCTAGAAGTCCTGCCAGACCAGAAATTTCAACAAGCCCAGGTTCACGCTGGACAAAAGGGCATTTGCTTGGAAGGGGAACATTTGGACATGTTTATCTTGGTTTCAGCAGGTTTGTATTTAAGTGTGTTCCAGTATATATATAGTCATAAACATTTTTTTGTATGTTAAGATTTTGGAATTCTCACTAAGCAAATAGCATTGAATTTGCTTCTTTCCATGTTTTATTCTTTGTCTGTTATGTCAGCTCTGGCCCTGATTCAAAATTGATATTTAATGTTTTTCAAAATTTGTCCAAATCCTTATTTTTTTTTAAAATTTTGCATTACTTTCTTTCAATTTTAAGCTTGCCTTAGCTAAACTTGTGTTTTTTGTAGGGAAAGTGGCGAGATGTGTGCAATGAAGGAGGTAACCCTTTTTTCAGATGACCCTAAATCACGGGAATGTGCGCAGCAACTTGCCCAAGTAAGCTTGCTGGTGTTAACTGGGTGAAACACTTTATTTATTTACGTGCCTCACACTCTTGTTTACTTTTGGGAAGTCCAAATTTTATGTCTAGTTTACGTGACTCTTGTTTTCCTTTGGGAAGTCCAAATTTCATGTCTAGTTTACAATTAAGAATAAAAATGTCGACTTTCCCACAATTTCCATTACTTTTCTTTGAGAAAAACCCTAGGATAGTTTTGGACTGAGTGTGTGTTTAATAATGAATATTCATTTATATGTTATGGCATTTGCAGGAAATTGCACTGCTAAGTCAGTTGCGGCATCCAAACATAGTCCAGTATTATGGGTCTGAGACGGTATTTATTCAGTTATTGTTGTCACTTTGTCATTTAGTAAATGATTTCACTATCAAGTTTGCTTGCTTACAATCGAGATTTAAAAGTTCAGATTGTTGTGTTAACTGCTTTTTAAAATTTTATACTAAACAGGTCGATGACAGACTTTATATATACTTGGAGTACGTCTCTGGTGGGTCTATCTATAAACTGCTTCAAGAATACGGACAATTAGGTGAAATTGCAATTCGAAACTACACCCGGCAAATTCTTTCAGGACTTGCATATTTGCATGCAAAGAACACTGTTCACAGGTGAGTTTGGGATTGATGGTAACCTGTTTTATTTAGAATATGACTCAATTAGCATCTTTAATTGATGTTGTAATTTGTGAAACATTTTGTGCTGATTCGGTTTTGATCAGGGACATCAAAGGAGCAAACATATTGGTGGACCCTAATGGACACATAAAACTGGCAGATTTTGGGATGGCTAAGCATGTAAGAGCATTTATAAGATGTCTTCATGTGCATACTACGCAATCTCTTTGGGATTGGATAATTTGACTGCAGTAAACCATCTCTATGCTTAAACTATTATGCAGTGGTGTCTAATATTGCCTATCCGGGATATTTTGCAGGTAAGTGGGCAGTCACTTCCATTTTCTTTTAAAGGAAGTCCTTACTGGATGGCACCTGAGGTAAGTATAATTCCTGCATCCACATAAATCTTTTTGTCGGTGATTCGCTGTACATAGTAATCTTATTTGAGCCACTTTCTCAAATATATATAGGTTATAAGAAATTCAAATGGTTGTAATCTTGCTGTTGATATATGGAGTCTGGGCTGCACTGTTCTAGAGATGGCAACAACAAAACCACCTTGGAGCCAATACGAAGGGGTAAATGAATTTTGAAGAATATTAGTCATTTTGAATTTCAAATCTATTTTGTGATAGACATATGAATCTTAGTTGGAGCACATGCTTGTATAGAAACAAAACATTGATTGAATAACCTGTTTCTGTTGTTTCACACTAAATGCTTCAGGTTGCTGCTATGTTTAAGATTGGGAACAGCAGGGAACTTCCCAAAATTCCAGATCATCTATCAGAAGAAGGGAAAAGTTTTGTCAGGCTTTGTTTGCAAAGGGATCCAGTAGATCGTCCATCAGCTTGTCAACTTCTAGAGCACCCATTTGTTAAAAGTGCTTTTCCGGAAAGACTCTTTATGACGGCTGATCCCTCAGAATCCCCATCTTCTGTTATAAATGCAATGAGATCACTGGTAAAAGCAATTGAAATATTTTGACCACTTTTGTATTCAATTCCTTCATTTATTAAATCATCCTTTCTTTGCACAGTTGCATTACTTTTCTGTTCCGATCATCATAGCTATCATGTTGTTAGGCAGATGTGTTCTGAGTTGTGTCAGGGTATATAAAATAAATATTTTGGGTCTCCCAAAAGTGTTTTTGTCCTACTTTCATGTTTGGATTTTTCACAGATTGCATGATTGCATCTTTTATTGATCACTTCAAACTGTTCTTATAGGCCATTGGATCACCTAAACATACACTATGTTTAGACTCGGAAGAAGTAGCTGGTATTCATGGTATCCCTCCAGCCAGAAACTTCAGAACCGGTTATGAATCAAGGTATCTCACTCTTTCTCAAATTCAATGGCACACAGATACATGTCATGGTCGTGTAAAAAAAAGTCTTAGCAAAACTATGAAATATTTAAAATAGATATTATGAGAAATTATTTAAATCAATTCTTTAATATGAAAGGAGATGATGTTTAATCATTTTTTGCCCTTGTTTCAGTTATGCTCATAAAGGAAGGATCGTCTCATGTCCCGTTTCTCCATCTGATGGACTACGCGTGCCTCCCAGATCAATGAATCTGAATGGCAGGATATCTCCCTCTCCAACACCTAATCCTCATGCTGCAGCTGCATCTGGGCCTTCTACTCCGCAAATCTGTAGATGTGGGGCAAACCCATACTATCAAACAAAGCAACCCATATTCCCTCATGAAGCACTTGGTATGACCCATAAATCTCCTACTGGTAATCAGTCAAATGGAAGAACTGCTGGTCAATGTCAGTGTTCAAATCATGCTCAGTTACAAAGAAATATGAAACCCCCCATTCAGTCAAATGAAGGGACTGCTTGTCAATGTCAGTGTTCAAAGCATGGTCAGTTACAAAGAAATATGAAACCCACCATTCAGTCAAATGGAGGCGCTGCTTGTCTATGTCAGTGTTCAAAGCATGGTCAGTTTCAAAGAAATGCGCAACCGCGGCAACTTTGCTGCCGCCAGGATATAATTTCACCTGAAAATAATGCTCTTGCAAACCATAGTAGGAGGGCCGTAGAGGGAGTTCCAAGAGAATCTCGTAGGGCCGTAGAGGGAGTTCCAAGAGAATCTCGTAATGGGAGGTCAAGTAATTGTGTGTCTCGACAACAGCGGGCACGACCAAATACATCTCGCAAGTCAAGTGCACCAGTGGTTGGTCGCACTAATGGCTTGTGATTATAGCAGAGTAGAATAATAGAAATTTTTTCATTTTACAAAGTGGATGCTGCACATGCAGCATTCAGTCTCAATCCTGCTTAGAATATTTTTTTTGGCAAAGCAAATGTACATCACACTTTGCACTGTAGCTGCAAAGGGGTAGAGCCAATGCCAATACAGATACAAATGTCTATTATAAAGACAAACTCAATCACAGACATGAATCAAGCAATATTTTATGCCACATGCTGCATATTTTTTTAATAAGCCAATTTTTAAGTCTGAAATGCAATGGGATTAAGTCTGAAATGAAATATAAACTGCTTGATTTTGAACACAAACCATCTCAAACCTGAACTGGATATTCCCGAGCTATTTGATTACTGAAAAAGATTCATTCATGTAAAAAATTTATGACGACACATTACCAAATCAACGAAAAGCCTTTTCTCTTATACAAACCTAAGAGCACATATGAAATTTGCTCCAGCTCAGCGTGGCAAGAATCGAGTCAAACAAACCTAAAAGCTACTTCGTATTAGACAAACTTACACTCAATTCCCATAGTTTTTGCGCCAGCTCTGTATCTTTGGCTAAAGTGGTTGGGTTTGCCTTATTACTATCCATAAAGTACTCACCAGATATTCCCTTGACCTGTGGGTGGAGTGCAAGATAACATTGAGTTGCAGCTCCCTACAACAGACACGCCGCCACAATATTAATAAAAATCTGGTATAGTAGTTAGAGTCTTTAGTAGCATGCATGCTAGGTAACCCTAACACACTGACTGCTCTATAAACTTTAGTAGCATGCATGCTAGGTAACCCTAACACACTGACTGCTCTATAAACTTTTGAGTGAGTCTGAGAAAATACCTGTTGCACATTTTTAAGTAGGTACTTGCCCACCATATTAGCAACGGCTGCAAAAATCAAGTGACACATTAACAAAAGTAAAAAAACATGGAGGAAATGTATAGAAACGAGCTTAGGCGATAATTGAATGGTATAGATACTAACCATTAAAATAACCATGGTACCGCAGAATATTTGTAATAATTGTTCCAGGATGAAGAGAGTTAACTGTTATTTGCACCCCTTCTTCCTGTCAAACAAAGACATCTGCAAGGGTTAGTAGAAATAGGAGGATAAGGTTGAATCATATGAAATTGCATAAACAATCTTGTGACTAATACCTTCAAGCGCCTCGCAAGCTCATTGGCATGCAAAATGTTGGCAAGTTTTGATTGTCCATAAGCAAAATAACCGCTGTATCTGTAAAAAATCAGACATGGAATAAGGAAATCATACAACTCTGGAAAACAACATTTAATTAAAAAGTTAATTAAAGAATAATTGTAAACTAAACATTCCAACTAGATGATTACTCCGATTCACTGTTGATCTTATCAAAACGAATCCCTTCACTATATGCAAATCTGTGAGCCTCCGATGATACAATAACTATCCTTCCTTCCCGGTTGCATTCCCTTACAGTTCTTTTCATAGTTTCTAATAAAAGATTTGTCAACAGAAAATGGCCTGCAAAATACAAGAAGTAAATGTGAGGAAACTATGCAATCATATACCAAATTACCGAGAAACTATGCAATCGTATACCGTATCACCTAAATGATTGGTTGCAAACTGCAATTCAATATTGTCTTCGGACAGCATGAATGGAGTAGCCATCACCCCTGCATTGTTACTTCAAAAGAAAACAAATATCATTCGTTTCATCTTTCAAATCCGCAACCGATCCATAAAGACATAAATAGTTTTTCTTTGCTGCTCAATCGGAAGCAAATTAAGAATTTCTTACATTAGAATATTGAGTGGAAAACCAGAAGAATTAAAATCTGCTGCGAATTTCCTAACAGAAGCCAGAGAGCTAAGATCTAATTGAAAAACATCAATTTTAGCAGCAGGAATTTCCTTAAGTAACGTTTCTTTGATTTCCATACCATTATTCACATTCCTCACAGCCATAACAACATGAACACCACGCAAAGCAAGAACTCTGGTTGTTTCCAAACCAAGACCACTTGATGCTCCTGAAAATAATTCATCAAATTCAGATCACAAATTCATCTATCCCAAATACTTGAAGAAAAAAAAATCAACCACAAATTTTCATGAATAGAAACACAAACAAATAAAGAACCTGTGACGATGGCAGTGAGAGAGGTTCCATCAATTCCGCGAGTAACTTCATCGGCGGTTGAAGAAGCTGAGAATCCCGACGGTCCTTTCCAACCAAGAAACCACATTTTTGTGTGTAACTGTATTGTATACACTGAAAGTATATAGTCAAACTTCAGAACTTAATTTTATATTTATTTATTTAATATATTTAAATAGTTATAAATTTGCATGATCGTAAAAAAGTATTTTGTTATAAAAGTGTTACTTAGTTGGAATCATGTGGTTGTGATTTAAAGAATGTTAATGGATGGTGGGTGGTCCATTAGATGTAATAAAATCATCATGACCGGTTTAATGTGGGCGAATGCTATTTTTATTGGTTTGACTAAACGAATAAATGAAGATTGTTTCACTTTGATTTTAATTAATGAATAATATTTATAAGTTTTTATTTTATGCATAAGTTATCATGATTTTCGACATTCCATTGTAACTCATTAAATTTAGTTTGAGAGAGTTTTAGGAACAAATTCATAAGATTATGATCACTTTCTTCAACTAAAATATCAACTGGATCAAACCAAACTAGTACTAATGTTGATCATGAGTTTGAAATGATTAGTGTATGAATTGTTGTAGCATTTGAGACAACACAACCTTAATCAAATGTGAACGATGTTATATTTAAACTTGTTCTTACTGCTCCACCTACACCTGTTTCTATTTCTCCAATTGAAGATGATTCTGATATAAGTTTTTCTACATATGATTATATTTTGTTTGCACCTGTTGAACATGAAGTACCTGAAGATCTTGTTTCTGCAACTCTTGCTTTTCTTAAATCAATTGAGTTTCTGTGACACTCTACATATATGTTTATATCATGTGGTTTATAAGTTTATATGCATATGTGAAAACATACTCTTGCTTTTCTTAAATCAATTGAGTTTCTGTGACACTCTACATATATGTTTATATCATGTGGTTTATAAGTTTATATGCATATGTGAAAACATATTTTGTAGGTTATTAAAGACAAGTGATCAAATCCAAAGAGATATATCATGGTTTTTCTTTGTCAATGTCTTTTAATGATGACAATTTAAAGGGAAACCTAAAGGAATTTTTTTGGTACAACCTCAATGCAACCTTTGAGTCAAGCAAATATGACAAAGCGATTAAAGAAGCAAGCAGACAAGTTAGGATTTGGTGATCATTGTAAACATCATATGATGATGGTACAAACATGAGTAAATCTCAAGCCACATCTTCAAGAAGATTCAAGCAAGTTTTGCATGATTGGTTTACCTGACAAGTCTTAAAGTTTCAAAGTCGAAAAAAGAGAAAGCGTGAAAGTCTGTACTGACGCGTCTGAGTGAACTGTGTTATGTGAAAGAACAAAGGAATTTTTCGTAAAGTTATACAGATAAATAAAAAAAATTTAAGCCACTATTTCTTAAGAAAATATCCCTAAAGTTTTTTAGAGTTGTATCAGTTGAACCAAGAAGGGTCAGAATGATTCTACTTGATTATTTTTAGGGCATCCAATCGATTGGAACAAAGTATCAATAGATTGTCTCATTAATTTTGATCCAATAAAAATTATTTTTTTTCTAGCACCCTCTAGCCTAAAAATATAAGCTCTTCTCTTCTCATTTTCACATTCAGAAATGTGAGTATTCTATCTCATTCCTCACCCTCTCTTAGGGATGGCAATGGACAGGATTTGGGCAGGGTACTATATAACATGTCTCCATACCCACAGTTGTAAAAAATCCACGTACCCGAGCCCATACCCGCTTGGGTATCAACATTGGCACCCGTCGTTGTACCATATGGATATATAAGTGCCCGTACCCGTTACGCGCATTTCTAATAAAAATAAATATATCATATAAAATATCTTAATATTTTAAGTTTTTAAAAACATGAAAAAGTTTTTAAAAAAATTATTATTGAATTATGAAATAAATGATCACTTATATTAAACATGTAGTATTTTAAAGTTGATATATTTTTTTAAAAAAATCTTATAAACATTTATTTTTATATAATAATATAAATTAAAATATATAAATATAAATTAAATATATAAATATATATTGTGCGGGTATGGGGAGGGGTGGGTACTAAGGTGCCCATACCCGCACTCATCCCCGCTTATTTAAGTGGATAATTACGCAAACCTGTATCCGTACCCATTTTTACGGGTTTTTACCCTACCCGTTGTGAGTAATTTTGTGGGTACCCACTGGGAATGGGACAAATTGTCATCCCCATCCTCTTTCTATCTAAAATATTGATAACGAGAAAACGCATCGATTATATCGCTAGATTTCATTAACGTTTTATCGCATATTCACCGTTTTAACACTCGATTTTCCGAGTTTTTCTTACCATTTTGCAGGTACATCATTATATGGAGCTAAATCATGAATTAAGAGCAAAAGGAACAAAAGAAACCATAAAGAGATGAAGAAATGAAGAAGCCTGCAAATGACTGCATAATTTGTTGCATCCACGATCGTTACAAGGGTGTCACGACCGTGACACCCCAATTTGGGCCATCACGACCGTAAGAGAGTGGTCACGACCGTGACACTTAAAAATCTCAAGATACGAACGTGAAGACCTTGTCACGCCCGTGACAAGGATAAAATTAGGTTCTTGACTCAGACTACGTCAAGGCATTACGTGAAGACCACTTCTCCTATTGGCATTACGTGAAGACCATCTCTCCTATTTTGTTGCCACGTTCCTGCATTCCTCCAACAAAATTCAGCAAGGCCCATGCAACAAAGGACCAAAAATCCAGCCCATTAAAGACTCTATAAATAGTACAAGTTCTATGAACAAAAGGAGCACATTTTCTTTATTCAAATTCCTGCGGAAGCTCTGCCAAACTGTATTACGAACCAGCATTTCCATTCCTGCATTACTTTTAGTTTTCTGTTTCGTTTTTATTTGTATCCAAACCAACCCTATAACAATTTCCAACATCAGGAAATTGTTATACATTTATTTGTTTCTAAACCTTCAGCATTCGTTTATTTTTAATTTCCGCCAACTCCAAGCTTTCCGTCTGTGGAAGAAGGAGTCTGCTCGAATATTTGTTAACCAGGTTTTTTATTATATTGCAATTTAATTTAGTTATAATGTCTATTTATTTTTCTGCCATGAGTACGTTATTATTAAATTCTCTGTCTCTGCCTGGTTCAACATCGATGAGTAGCTAAACACCTTAGGGCGGTATGTAGTTATAACAAACTTAACCGGTAAAATATAACCATAGGCTGAAAATAATTAATCACTTAACATTTTGGCTGATACTTTTTAATTGAAATAGACCTTTTCGTTACGAGAGTAAGAAAAGAGTATTAGGTTAGGTCAAGACCACGAGAGTGTGAGATTTTAACCAGATAGCTAAAGTTAGGCATTTAAATTAAACACAGCGAGAGCGCTTTAAGATAAATTAGAATTACTTAGTTTCCAAAAATTACCTCTAAACACTTATGGGCTAGCGAGAGCAGGCATAGGGCTTTAGGGATAAGATCTGATATAAGACCACGAGAGTGTGAGTTGAGGGTATTTAAACTGGTAATCTCTACCGAATAGATTAAGTGAACATCTCTATAAGCCTAGGTTAGATTGACCCACCTAAGTTAGTATAATTACATACCGACCGCCTTAGTATTACTTTATTAAAACTTAAATTTAATTCCGCCTTTAATAGTCTTAAAAACCAACAACAATCGTGACAACCATTCGCCTTAGCTAAACTAGAAGTTCATCTAGCACTAAGTAACCATAGAATCCCTGTGGATCGATAATCTTAAATATTACTTCGATAGGCTGTGCACTTGCAGTAAGATACCGCTAGACGCATAAGTAGACACGTCTTTAGCCCATCAAGTTTTTGGCGCCGTTGCCGGGGATTCCTTAATTTAGTTACTAGTGCATTTAGGTAGCATTGTCTAGACTAAGGTATCAACTATTTAATTTAATCTAATCTCCGAGTGTATGCCAAGTACTCGCTCTAAAAGCGAAGACTTGCAACCTCTAATCCCTGAATCGGAACGCTTCTTACACGTAAGGAGACGTATATTCGATTTCGAAAATAATTCCAATATTCCAGATCTTCAATTAGATCCGCCTAAACCAGTCGTAAAATCAGAGGACGCAGAGATGGCTGAAGAACAGACTCATCCACTCAAGTATTACGCTAATCCATCGCAAGGTGAACCGCATTCAAGCATTGCAGCGCCGGCTATCAACCGAAATGATTTCGAACTAAAACCTTCGTTGATATCAGCCGTGCAACAAAATCAATTCGCCGGAAATCCTACCGAGGATCCGAATCTTCATCTTTCGATCTTTGTGCAATATGCAGATACCGTAAAAGCCAATGGAGTTACCCAAGAAGCTATTAGACTACGTTTATTTCCTTTTTCGCTTCGAGACAGAGCAAGAGCTTGGCTTCAATCTCTGCCTTCGAACTCAGTAACTACGTGGGCAGAACTTAAGAAAGTTTTCTTGAATAGGTATTTTCCACCTAGCAAGACAGCTATGCTGAGAGCTCAGATCAACGGATTTAAGCAAAGAGAAAGTGAATCATTATTCGAAGCTTGGGAACGCTATAAAGATCTACTGAGACTTTGTCCACATCATGGATTAATAGACTGGATGGTCATCCATACCTTCTATAATGGACTCTTGTACAACACAAGAATGACAATTGACGCTGCCGCGGGTGGTGCATTGATGGACAAAGAATATAGTAATGCCTATGCACTTATCGAAAGTATAGCTCAAAATCATTACCTTTGGGGAAGCGAGAGAGTCGCAACTGAGAAACCAACAAAGGGAGGTATGTACGAAGTAAGTAGTATGGACCAAGTCAATGCGAAGTTTGACCAACTAAGCCAAAAGATCGATAACTTGGCCATAACACCTGCAGCCACCGTGGCTGCAGTAACACCTAACTGTGAGTTATGTGGAGTCCCAGGACACGAAGTTTCTGATTGTCAACTATTGGCAGGAACTCCCACTGATCAAGTGAATTATGCTCAAGGAAACCCTTACTCAAACACATACAACCCAGGTTGGAAGAATCATCCGAACTTCT